TATTAAAAAATTTTTAATTATTTTAACTTTTAATTAAAATTTCCCTATTTATATTTATTTAATTTTTAATATTTTTTTTATAAATTTTTTTTTTTATAACTTAAAAAATTTATTATTAAATAAATTTAATTTTAAAAAATTTTTTTTTAACCTTTTTACTTAATTAAATTTATTTTTTTAATTCCCTAAAATTAAAACTATTTAATTTTATTATTAAATTATTCTTAAAAATTAAAATTTTACTTATTATTTACTATTTTATCTTAACCTTTTTTCTTTTTATATTTATAATTTTTATTAATTATATATATATAAAACTATTTTTTATAAAATAAAAATTCTATTTAACTTTCTTATCTAATTCTTATTACTTTTTTAACTAAAATTATTTTATATACCTTTTTAATTCTTTTTAATTAATTTTTACTATAATTTAATAACTTAAACTATTATTTTTTATATACTTATTTATTTAATTAAATAAATTANCCTTTATAAACTATTTACTTTTTTCTCTCTCTTTTTTATTTTTTAAAANAANNNATACTAAAATTTTAACTTATAATTTTAATAATATAATTTCTTATAAANCTAAANNTTAAANNTTTTAATACCANTANAAAATATTTTTATACTACCTTTTAATTTTATAAAATAATTAAATTAATTAATTCCTTATTTTTATATTTTATAANTTATAACTAANCTATATATATTTTAATATTTTTATTATTAAATCTTATTTTATTTATAATCTTAAANTAATCCCTTTTATAATATATTAANTTATTTTATTANCTTTATAAATATATAATAATTAAATAATAACTATTCTTATATAACCTATANTTTTTTAANCTANAATTTTTAATAACTAGCTTTATTTTTTATAAATTAAATAATAATATAAAATATCCCCTTATTTTAATTACTATTTTATTAATNTTAAATTATATACTTTTAAATATTACCTTACTTTAATTAAACTATTTTATAAAGAATCTGTTTTTAATAAATTATTAAGACTGTATATATAAATAAGTTAAAATATTATTTAATTATATAAAGACTAAGCTATTTTAACTTAGTAAGCACTTTAAGGGCTTATATTTTAAAAACTAACTTACTTAATTTATTACTTAGGTTAAGAAGCGTCTCCCTTTTTATATATTACTATTATTATTCCTAGCTTAATTAGCCTTATTATTTCTTATTAATTATTACCTTCTTAGCCTGTGTTTCTTAAGCTATAAATTAGCTGTAATTTTAATACTACTTAATAAAGTAATAAGCCTACTGCTTATAATAAGGTATATACTTTTTAAAAAGGTATTAAAAGATATATATTTATAAAATACTATTTTTCTTTTTATTATATTTCTTTTTTATTAATAACTAGGCTTATAAAAAGTCTGCCTTATTATTAATAAATATTATATACTTTTAGTTATAAAATATACTTTTATAAGTTAGTTTATTTTTATTAGCTAGTTATAAGTTTACTACTAGGCATTTATCTTTAGTTTTTTATTATATAGCTACTTAGGCAGTAAGGTTATTATTAAGCTAGTTAAGCTTTTTATTAGCTATTTTATTTTTACTATTTTTATTATTATTACTATTTTTATTATTATTATTATTTTTATTATTATTATTTTTTTAATATATATAAATTTAGGCTAAGATATTTATATTTATATAGTAAATATAAAGTTATTACTATAATAAAAAAAATATATTACTAAAAGTGTTTTTAAGTGTATTTTCTTTATTTATAATAATTATAAATAGTATTAAAATATAAAGCTTTTATTAAATAGCCTTTAGCTTTTTATATAGCTATTAGTATTTATTTTACTTTTTTATATTAATTAAATTAAAAGTAAAGTTAGTTATTAACTTTTAGTTTATAATATTAATAACTTTAAAAAGAAATATATTAAAATAGTTAGTTTTATATATATTATTAATTTTAAGGATTTTTAAAAAGTATTATTATATTATTTTTAATTATTTATATAACTAAATAATACCTTAAACCTTATTATTATTATTAGTTTTAATAAAATAATAAAGATTAATATTTTATAGCTTTTTAATTTAAGCCTAGGTTATTAATAGGCTGCTAAAGGCTTAAATCTTAATCCTTTAATAGTTATTATAAATATTAAATTACTAAAAATAAGTAGGCTTACTTATACTATTTTAAAGAATTTAGGCTATTTTTTTAACTAGCAGGGCTTAATACCTTATTAAATCTCTTTTTTATTATTATTAGGCTAAGGTTTATTACTAATATATAATATGCCTTAATAAATTAATTATTAATAAATAGTTATAATTTATATAAATTATATAATAAAATTACTTTTAATTAGTTTATTTAATAGCTAAAGCTATAATTTTATAAAAGTATTTTATTTATTAAATTAAACTTTATTAAATCCTAGTGCTTATTAAAGTTTAAGGCTTAGTATAATTATAAATAAAGGTATAATAAGTTTAAACTTATTAACTATTAATAATCTAAAGGTTAAAGCTATGCTTAATATAAAAAGTAAGATTATAATTATAATAAAAAGTTTATAAAAATATAAAAAGTTTATTAAATATATTATATATTATTAATAGCAGTAAAATAAAAAAGTAATACTTTAAGGCAGCTTTTAATAGCTTTAGTAATAATTTTATATTTTTTATAGCTTATTATATAGCTTTTATAGCCTTTTAGACTTATTAAAAAACTTTAAGGATTTTATTAGCTAATTAAAAAGCTTTTATAATCTCTTAGGCTTATTATAATAATATAGTATATATAAGCAGTAATATTAATACCTTTTTAATATATAATAGTAATAATAATAATATTTTTTCTTAAAGTAGCTAAGCTAGATCTTTAAGATTAATAAAGCTAGGCTTATTAAGAAATTATATAATAAATAGCTACTTTAAGTTATTAAATTTAACTTTATTAAGGTCTTTATTATAAAATTTAATAGCTATAGCTATTAGCTTTATTATTACTAGCTTTATTACTATTAGCTTTATTACTATTATTATTTTTAATATATTAAAATCCTTATTATTAAGGTTATTACTATTAAATTCTACTGCCTTTAGTATTAGTAATACCTTTAATATATTTAATACTAATAAGCTAAAGAAGGTATAAATTTTTATAAAACTAGTGCCTTAAAATAACTTTAAAAATATTAATATATTAAAATAATAGCTTTTAAGCTTTAAGTGCTTTATTTTTATAATGCTAATATTTATAATATTAAGATTTAGAACTTAAGTAAAAAAATAGTTAAAATTAATTAAGTCTTAGTATTATAATATAAACTATAAAATATACTATTAGCTTATATTATAAATAGGTATATAGTTATAGGAATAGTAGTATAGGCATAATAATTTTAGTATAGGCATAGACTACTATAGTTTAAATAGGAATCTATTATAATGTAAATAGGAGGACTTTATAAAAGAAGGCTATCTAAGTATTTAAAGTTATTAACTGTAGGATCTTAAACACCGAGCATCCCTAAGAAGCCCGCATTATATGCAATCCCATATCGTAAGATAATACCAGCCTTGCCCGCGAGTTCAGCGAGCTGTCTCTGCGTCTCAGACAAGCCGGTCAATTCGATGAAGCGCTTCCAGAAGGCGTTCCTCAGGTCATCCACATCGTCGAACCACTTCCATCCATCAGGGCCCATGCTGCCAAGACAGTTTTCCAGCGCGTAGAGAGCGAAGCCAAAGGGCTGCATGCTTGCCTCTGCCCAGTCAATAATGCCAGTGATCGTATGGGTATCAACCAGAATGTTCGTTTCGTTTAGGTCGCCATGGAAAAGGACCATTGCGTAAGACCCGATGAATAATGACGGTATGGCTTGTTGCACTTCAGTGATGACTGGCAAGAAGCGATCAGGAAGGGTTGCGGCGAGGTGCTTGAATCTTGCCTCGCAATCAGATTTGATGGTGCTTATGTCGGATGCTTCGTGGCCTCCTGTCGTGAACCATTGCCAAGGTTCTGCGAAGAGACTGCGATATAGATCAGCGAACAGTCACTATACTCTCAATGAACATAACTCACGATGCCAGACTATTAACAGTGTTGCGTCTCTCGGAACACGAAAGCCTAGAGCGAGCAGTTATGTAATTCCCTCTGGGAAGCCTGTTCATCTCATAGATGTAGAGCCGCGAGCCGTTCGGATCGCCAATCCAACCAAGATGTAGACAGCTCGGCACCAAGTCTCCGTGGACAGCTTTGGCAAGCTTTAGCATACTCTCCGTTAGGGGAGAGCCGCTTTTCCGAAACTGTATGATCTTGTCGCTTTCTGACCCCGCAATCACTGTGTAGCTGCTCGACCCCTGAACAGCAACAAGCAAAGCAGCAGCTCCATATCTTCGTCTTGCGAATGCGTCACACTCCGCTCGCGATGCAGACGTTCCCTCTTCTGAGAAGAAGCTCTCGATTGCGCTGTCTAGTGTGTAGGTTATTAAAGGCATGATCAGATAATGGCGTCGAAAGGGAGATCGCCTGAAATAGCGTTGGGGTAGAGTCCAGGGTCAGTACGTTGTCATGGAGTGGCAGGTGGGCAGGCAAGCGGTGAGAAATGGGATTCATATACTAGTTAGAAGTTGGGTCTAACTGCCTTACATTCCTGTGCTACATATTATTGATGCTATGACCAACTGCATTGCAATTACTTCGTGAAATATAAAATGGCTGATATCACCACTTCCCTGGTGTACGCAACATAGTCTATCAGCAGTCATGGAACATCTATATCACTTGATCAGATACAGACAGACGGGTTATAGTCTTCCGAACTATGTCGTTTGTGGCATTACAGGTCAAATGCAGTAGATATAGTCACAACACAAAGAGTTCACTACTTCCACATATATGTATATGCTTCTTGACGACCAAGATACCCCTCAGGTAATCTTTGTAAACTACCTAATAGGTATTCCATAGATCTATATGTACCTAGTTGCTCCGCGGTCTTGGGTTGGATTCTTTCCTTATAGGAGACCGTTTTGTGAGAAACTTCGGCGTTAGGTCAAGAATAGCAAAACTTCCGACAATTGCTTTGATTTTGGTAGGGGAATCGAGAAAGATCTGTATGTAAAGTAGCCGATGGGCGCAGAGTAAGGTAGTATATCTTACTTAAGCTTACAATTCCGTGGCTGCAACTACAACCTCCTGAGCCTGAGGGGGATGCTCGTGGTGACTGCTTCGAAAGAGACACAAAGACAGTTAATGAAACATAAGCTTAAATTATCATTCCCTAGATACTCGCTGCTCGTATAGGTCAGCATTGGGATGTATGTATTCTCCAAAATCACTGTTGAGTATGAAGCGTGTGTAAGGTCTATAAGGATCTTCATCACTGCCCCTTTTAACAAGCCGCCTCGAGCTCAATTGGTGACCCGTGATTGGTCAGTAACCAGGTCACGTGACCGCCCGGTTAGCTCAATCGGTAGAGCGTGAGACTCTTATTAAAGATTCACGTTCTGAATGTGGACAATCTCAAGGTTGCGGGTTCGACCCCCGCATCGGGCTATTCCTATACACAGTCGGGTTGAGATATCAAGGCGGCATTCCTTTTTTTGCAATTTTTTCTTCCTGAATTGGATCTGTTGTCCATTCTTTCTTTCATCCTCGAGTTAGTCATGTTTTGAGCTGCGGAAGAGGTGGGTGGGAAAGATGCGAGAACGAAAGGTAACGGGCAAGATGCCCCTGAATCGTGTTGTCCGGGACTGCATCCTTCTGCAACTCAGGCTCTACTGCATAACCATCTACTTTCCAACTTTATTATGTGCATCTTGATATATAATTTGATGTCTTCTCTGTTAATATATGTCATTCTTTTTAATCATGAGCCGTTTACGCCAATAATTAAAGTAGTGAAGAAGTGGACTTAACTAGCTCCTTAGTCTTATGCTAGTATGTAAGAATATTAAGCTGGCGTATTAGGCAACTAGTAAGACAAGCTGTCTATAGGTCACTTATATAAGCTATATATAGATATATATAGGTAATCCCTAGCGCTAGAAAAAAGATTACCTATATATAAACAGCTTAATATTTCTTTTAATACTAAAAATTACTTATATATATATAGCTTAATTATTATTATTTAAGTTATAATTAGGGAATTAATTATAAATATTTAAACTTATATTTATTATTTAATATAATAAAAAGAAAGAATTAATTTTATTTATTTTTAAAATTAATTTAAATATATTTATATATTAACTAAAACCTAAACTTAAAGTAAAAAAGAATTAATAAATAAATAGTTATTAAATAATAGCTTAAAGGTTATATAAAAAGTAAATATTTATAATTTACTTTATAATATAAATAGCTTAAAAAAATAATAAATAAATACTATTAAATATAAAGTAAATTTAAAAATATTATAAATTTTTTTTAAAATTAATTAAAGTTTATTTAAGGTTTTTTAATAAATAATTTTATAGTTAAAAAAGAAACTTAAATAAATATAAGTAGAAATATATTATATATTTAAAAGAAAGTAAATTAATACTTATATAAAAAGTAAAAAGTATTATACTCTTTCTTCTTTTACTTAAAAATAAGGTAGTATATAAGTTTTTCCTTTTACTATTAACTTATATTTCTTATTTATATTTTTCTTTATTTATAATAGCTATTAATACTATTAAGTATTAAAAGCTAATAATAACTACTTTTTTTTAAAATAATATTATAAATATATTAAAATATAAAAGCTTATAAGGCTTATTATAATAAAAATAGCACTAGTTTATATATTAATAAAAAAATACTATTATTAAAGTTAAATTATATAAGCTTTTATAATTAAGTTTATAATAAATAATAATTAATATTTTATTAATATTAAATTTTAAAATAATAAAGTTATTATTATATTAAAAGAAGCTTTTTATTAATATATTAGTATTATAAGTATAATATACTTTAAAGTAAAAGCTATATTATAATATAAAAAAAATATATTTTAATAATATTTTAAAACACTTTATATAAAAAGATAGGCATATTAAAAAAGTATTATAAAAAATGCTATAATTTAAAAATTATCTTTAAGGAACCTAGTAGCTATAAGGCATATTATTAAAATAAGCTAATATATAAATAAACTAGATATAATTTAAAAATATTACTAAACTAATTCTTAAGCTAGTATTATAAAATTAAAAATAACTTAAAGCTAAAATAGATTTTAGTTAATATAAAGGCTTAAAATATAGCTTAATAATAAAAGGCTTTACTTATTCTTTTTATTAATTTAAATAATACTAGTTTAAGTATAAAAGCTATAGCCTTATAAATAAAATTATTACTGCTTTAAGATTTAAAATAAAATAAGTTAATATTATTTATAAAATAGTGCTTAATTTAATTTAATAAATATCTTTTTTTATAATTTTTTTAAACCTTAAAATAAGTAATAATAATTAGCTATTAAAAAAAGATTAATTTTAATATTTTCTTTAATTAATTTTAAAAAAAAAATAAAAAAATAAAAAAGTTAGTTTATTTAAATAATTTTAAATTAAATTAAATATTATTTAAAATAAAAAAAAACTATAAAATAAATATATAAATAAATAAATAAATAAATAAATAAATAAATAAATAAATAAATAAATAAATAAATAAATAAATAAATAAATAAATAAATAAATAAATAAATAAATAAATAAATAAATAAATAAATAAATAAATAAATAAATAATAATAATAATAATAATAATAATAATAATAATAATAATAATAATAATAATAATAATAATAATAATAATAATAATAATAATAATAATAATAATAATAATATTTTTATATTATTAATAAAATTAATAATATAATATTTAAAATTACTTAAATTTCTTTTATAATAATAAAATATTATTAAAAAAAAATAAACACTTAATTAAATTTATATTTAATTTTAAAATTATTAATAAAAAGTAATAAAAAAAAGAAGGGAAAACTTATTATTTATATATATAAATATTTTTGGGCTACCCAGCCCCCAATCGCAATCCAGGCCCTAGCTGGTTCCGTGAGGGAAATTTCTCACCCCCCCCCCACCCCAACCAACCACACCAACCCAAAAAAAAAAAAATAGGAAGGGGGGGGGGGGCAAAATGAAGAAAAAAAAAACAACATTTAATTTTTTTCCCCCCTCCCCCGCCCCCCCTTTCCAAGAAAGAAAAACCCGGCCCGGGCCTATTTTAAAATAAAAAAAAAGCCGCCCAAACGGGGGGGGGGGGGGGGGGGGGGGGGGTGGGGGGGGGTGGGGCCCCCTCTCCCCTCCCCCTCCCCCCCCCTCCCCCCCCCACCCCCCCCCCCTCCCCCTTTGGGTTGCGGGCCGGGGGGGGGGGGGGGGGGGGGGGGGGTTGTTTTACCTCTCCTCTTCCTTGTTGGGGAGGGGGGGGGGGGGGTTTATATTTTCTTTCGCTTCTCTCACTCCCCCCACCAA